TAACTTTAGTGTCAGTGTTGTCCCTGCCTTTCTCACACGCGTCTCTGAGTGGCCTGCCAGAACGAATGTCACGCGATTTTTTGTGTCTTCGATTACCTGGGAAGATGGGAGGGTCTGAGACTGGCCTCTAAGCTGCCCAGCTTTCAGCTAGCCGGTCGCCTTAACCCCTTCTCTGAACGGCCTGCCGGAACGAAATATAGTTGGGTGCAATTCTCTCATGTCAGGACAGGTCTTCCCTCTGGATGAGGTCGCCTTCTGACGGCCCCAGTGGAGTGGTTTCTCCCTTGAGGGGACTTCTGAGCAGCTCTTAAAACTTGACTGCCTCTCACATCACGGACAGGAAAGTGTGATCTTCAAAGGCGCAGATCTCAAGGAGAGTAACCCCCTCCTTAATGAGGGCAGTACCTTTATTACTATTAACTTCCTCTTTCCCCCTCTTCCCTCGTGCTTCTGGTAACCATGGACAAACTTGGCTCTCTGTACGTTTACCATCTTTGGGGGTCTTTTTTTGTACAGTGAGGTCGTACAATGTGTCCTTTTGTGGTTGACTTCTTTCACGCAGGGTAATAATACTGTCTTGCTCACACCGGTGGAGTCGCAGTCTGCTTGTTGCCTGTATATAGCGGATTTTGTTTATCCACCCATGTGCCGAGGGGCATTTGGATTGTTTCCACCTTTTCTCTGTTGTGAATAGTGCTGCAATGTGTTGCAGACCGAATGTAAAGTAATAATGGGACAGACAACTAAGAATGAGATAAGAGAGAGTAAGGACAGGGGGCCAGCAGTCCTGATGACTGAGGCGCCCAAGCCACGCCTCTCTGTGTACTTATTGAAAATCATCAGGAAGGTAAACAAAGGAAAATCACAAGCGAGTCAAAAAACAAAGGATCATGGAGAAGTCTTTTGCAAATAAGGTGAAGGGAGTTCTTTATTGTTTACCGTATGCTAATCTCAGGAAGGAGGAATTCAGTAAATACAAACTAAGAACAATGTTGACTCTTTTTTTTAAATTTTATTTT